CTGGCTTTGTAAGATGTTCACTCTGCCATTGACATGACTGGCTGTGGTGAGGAGACCATTTGGAGATACAGAGGCATCTGTGGGGAGTGCAGTCAACTGCAGTGGTGCAGAGGAGAGCAGGTGCAGAGGCCGAGTGTGGCTGTGGCTGCAGCTGTGCAGCCGGAGGGAGTCAGTGTTGGAGAACCATTCTGGTCCTCCATTCTTTCCTAGATCTGAGGCCCAGCCCTTGCCTGTAATCTGTCTAATTTTTCTCCATTTTTCCATGAGCCCCCTGAATTGTCTTCTTTATGAGCTGCAGATCCCCCCATATCAGCCTTTTCTGGAACGTTCCACCTCTTTTTACCTTTACTTTCTCTCTCTAGCATAGGCACCTTAGATATGTGAAGTGACACCATTCTAGATACTGTTCCTCTCTCTTAGAAATTGCTTCTCCTTGGAAAAGCATCATTTTACCTCACTATACCATTTTTCCCCTCGGCAACCTTCGGATTCCCTCCTGTGTATCCTACTTACTGATGTTGAAGACAGGCAGCCAGTCCTGCATTATTTTTTCCATGCCTGCTTTTATCTTCCTTGTCCAGCTTAGATTTCCTGGCCTGCTATTATAGTTACTTACTTACAGGTACCCTCATCTTCTTCACCACTTCCTTCTCCATCCAACACCAACCCAGATGAGCTTCGCTTTCCGCTTTCTCTGTGCCTAAGGGGAGGCACTGAGCATTGTTGGAGAGTATCACATAGTGAGGAGGGGGTCACATCCTCGTGTGCTTCATAACATGTACATTCAGAAGTATCTTAGAAATTCTGATGAAAACCATAAAATCGAAATATTGGTAATTGTCAATAACTATAATTTTTCTTTGGACTTAACATCTTTATGCAAAGTCTATATCACAAAATGTGTATTTACTACTTACAAATATTTGAATGTATATTCAGATATGTGTACATGAACAGTAATGTTTTTATTCAGTAAAAATGAAATTCCTCTAAAAAAAAAAAAAGGCCAGGTGTGGTGGTGCATGCCTATAATTCCAGCACTCAGGAGGCTGAAACAGGAGGATTATGAGTCCCTGCCAGCCTAGTTTACATAGCAAGATCTGTCTCAAAAAAATAAACAGAAGAAAGTCCCCTTTGATAAGACTGACTGACTGACTATAGTGTAAGCATGAATGAAGATGTAACAAAGAAATCCCCTCCCCCATGTAACTAACCTAAGCTAATAAAAAAGAAAAGAAAGTGCCTTTTAACTTTTTACATGCTATAGAATACACACTTAATGGGATATTCTTTAAGGCTACTTTGGCTAGATACAAAATCCAGGGAGATCATTTCCTCTTATCAGTATTTGAACCTGTTGCTCTGTGATCTTTGTATCAGTGTGAGTCTGACATGATTTATTATTGTAAGTAGTTGTAGAAGGGTTACAGTTCCATGAGTCAGATTATGGGTTTAATCATTCGTGGTCAGCGTCACCTTGTCCTTTGTTCTCCCCTATTTTCCTTCTCCTATCCTTAGCCTCAAATCTGACATGATTTTTTTTTGGGGGGGGGTAGTGGGGGGTGTTGGTTATGGGGTCTGAACTCTGGGCCTGAGCACTGTCCCTGAACAGTGCTCTACCACTTGAGCCACAGCGCCACTTCCAGCCTTTTCTGTTTAGGTGGTTCTGAGGAATCAAACCCAGGAGGGCCTCATGCATGGAAGGTAAGCACTCTACCACTGAGCTACCTTTCTAGTCCCCTGACATGATTTTTTTTCTCTCCTTCCTTGTACATAATTTCTTAATGTCTGTCATAATTATTTCTTTAGTTCTGAAATTCCATAAAAATCATCATTCTACAAATTTTGCTTATTTAAAAATACCATTTCTGGGCTGGGAAGTTGGCTCAGTGATGGAGCGCTTGCCTTGCATGCCTGAGGCCCTGGGTTCGATTCCTCAGCACCATAAGCAAAAAGAAAAAAGCCAGAAGTGGCACTGTGGCTCAAGTGGTAGAGCGCTAGCCTTGTGAAGAGCTGAGGGACAGCGCCTAGGCCCAGAGTTCAGGCCCCACGACCGGACCCCAAAAAAGTAAATAAATAAAAAATAAAATAAAATAAAAATACCATTTCTTTGGCTTTACATTTCTGTATATACCTTTAAAAAGAGAATTGCATTTTTTTGCATGTCTTTTCTTCCTCCTCCATATCTGGTGTCTTCCACTGTAGATTGTTCTATGCTGGTCCTATCTGTTTTGTTGAATAGGATTTCTCTATGTCCTGGTGTTTCTTTTAGTCATTCTATTTTTGGTTGTGTCTTAATGTGGCTTTTATCTCTATAATGTTATTTTTTCTTTTCTTTTCTCTGAGTTCTACCAGCTTGATTTTCATTTCCTTCTGTTGTTATATAATCTTTTCTTTGAACCCTTGTTTTTCTTCTTTGAGCTTTTTTTTTTTTTTTTCTTTAAGAAGGGTCATGTTTCCTATGGTTGCCTTTGAGACTTTGGAAAATTATTTATCTAAACTCTTCCTGTGTTCCTTTGAGTAGCTCTTCTTGTGCTATATACTCTTAATTTATTTACCTTTTTCTCTCTATATTTTTTCCTAACTTGTATGTCAATATGTAATATTGCTTGTTTTCTGATTGTAGTTCATGTTGTAATAGGAAGGCTGGCTATAAGCATAAGTAGACTGTGGCTTTTCCTTCAGCTTAATACTCTGGTTTTCTCACCAGATCTGCCCTTTCTTTCCTTTGTACTGGACTCATTTCCCATTGATTGTTGGTATTGAGAAGATAAAGTGGTGGTGGTTATGTTTTGTTTTTGTGAAGGTCCTGATGCTTGAACTCAGTGCTTGGGAACTGTCCCTGAGCTGCTTTTTCTCAAGACTAGCACTCTACCACTTGAGCTACAGCTCTACTTCCAGATTTTGTTAGTTTAGTGGAGATAAGACTCTCATAGACTTTCCTGACCTGGCTGGCTTCCAACCCAAATCCTCAGATCTCAGCATCCTGAATAGCTAGAATTACAGATATGAGCCATCAGTGCCCAGTTATGGTAGTGGTTTTTAGAACCTTTTCTCAACTTAGTGACAATTAGTACCACTTCTGTCCTGCTTCTTTAGCCACCTTTTCCAAAGGACTGGGTATAAACAGTGTATGGGGCACAATAACAGGAGTTACTTCTTTTAGTACAGCCCAACTTTCCATGGTGTTAAACTGTGGTTGTGAAATATGGTATCTGCCTCACCGGCTGTGCACACATCTAGTATGGCATCAACAGAATCATTTCATCGGTTGCTCACAGTCGTATTTCTTAGAGGAAATTGTATTTCTTGCTGGGCCTGAGCAGGCATGTGGTGCTTTCAACAGGTCTCCTCCCTTCTTTAATACTCATAGGTGCTGTTCATATATTTTTTTTGCTGTTCATATTTTATACTTGCAGTTATGACTTTCTTGTTTCAGATTTTTTAAAGTAAAAATTTGTACCCTTTACGCATCAGGCCTATGAGGAAATGTGGTTTATTTTTCAATCACATGTAGTCTTTCTTTTAATAAGGTATGGGAGAAGAAAAATTTGCATGTAACAGAATCTTACCTTTTTTTGGTATAAATATTCTTTTTTGAGTAACCCACTGGTTGGAATCTTTTTTGTCCCCAACCCCCACCACGGTTGCACCCTAGGTGCCTGGGCTTTAGGAATGGTTATGATGATAGTGGTGGCTGAGAACCAGATTTAGTGTTGTCCTTGTAAGTCTTTGCTGCCAGGCCCCAGGCCATGCCTTGTTGAGGAATGAGTCATGAACTCATTCAGCCTTTGGGTGCTTTAAGACATTGAAGAGGCTTCTGCTACCCATGGAGTCTGTTATTTGCTTGAAGCCATGGACTCATCTGTGCCATCTACTTACTATGAGCTTGGGTCATCTGTCCAGCTTTCTCCTCCATTGGTCTGTTGTGTTGTACTCATACCATTTTGTCAATGAAGCTGAGTGCTGAACTTCATTTAAGAAAGCCTACAACCTCCCCGAGTCTATGACCTCAGGCCTGGATACTTGGACGAGCCAGATAGTTCTAAAATGTTTTTACACATCTTCCTCCATTTCTACTAGTCCTCAGGGGTCTCACAAAAAAGACAATGAGGACTCTGGTATTTAATTTTAAGGAATGAATGTCTGATGTAAAGTGTGAGAATTGAAAATGGGGAGGGGAATCATTAGATAATGCTATAAAACTTAAGTATATTCACACGTTCCTCTGTTAGATTGTCTGTGGTGGACTGTAATGATGTTATTTGTTGTCTCATGTTAGAGAACAATCATTAGTAAGTGAAAGGGCAGAAAGAACTTCAGATTTGGTACTTTAAATTAGTTTTTTAAAATTGCTTTTGTATTATTTACATAAAAATTAAATTATTTTCCATAAGAATATCTTCCATTGGAAAGATTGGTTGTTGCCTTTCTATCTTTATGAATGATGACTTTATCATCATTTTTTGTTTGGCAAAAATATGATAGAACTTCGCAAAGTTTGAGTGGACTTCAGATACTCAGTGCCAAATATTTTTGCCCAATTAAAGCTTATGTATAATTAAGATAACAATGCAGAGTCCTTCATTAAAATTAACGCAGAAAGAAGTTCTTCCTTGGTCCTTGGAGAGGATATTATATGCAAGCCCTGTTGCGTGGGTTGCAAGGTGTCACTGGAATTTATATGCATTACTTGTCTAATTGCAGTAAATGTAGCATGTCCAGATAGGTGTGGAGTTAGAAGGCTGTTTGTTACTTCCTATAAATCATGTGAAGCCTCAGCACCCGGAGGCAGCTGTTCTCAGGTCCTTCACCTCTCCCCGGAGATGGCTGGGGAGGCTCTGCTGTTGGGCCCTGTCTTTCATGGCTGGAGCAGTAAACATGACAGGTTGTTTGGGAGCCATCTGTTTAAAGTGGCTGCTGCTTTGTATGCAGCAATGAACTTGAGAGCAGCTTTCTGTCTTGCTTCATGCTAACAGTCTTATTTGGTGTCACAACAGGTGGAAGTTGGCGGGTCGAAACTAAAATTGACCAGTATGTGGAACCTGGCTTTGCCCTTATTGTCTGTCAGTGTTGATGGCACTCAGAGGACTGTGCAGGTAAACATTCTGATGATTTTCTTAGAAGGCCTCCTTAAGTTTAAAAACCTGTGTGTTGAATATACAGATGTAGAGGAAAAGCTGTATTTTATTCATGTTATAGTTTTTATGTTTCAAGACAGTTGATCTTATTTTAGAGACTCTTGAGTTATGTCGTAATATTTTAAATTAATATTTTTAAGACAAGGTAAAAAGGTTTTTGTATTATATTTTGTTGTAAGTAAAGAGTACTGTTGACTTTTCTTTCCTCCTGCGCCAGTCCTGGGACTTGAACTCGACCTGGGTGCTGACCCAGGTCAAGATAATCTCAACTGTTGAAGCCACAGCTCTACTTGTGCCTTTTATTGCTTAATTGGAGATGCGTCTGCAGATTTTCCTGGTCAGGATAGATTTGAACCGTGATCCTCAGATCCAAGCCTCTTGAGTAGCTAGAATTACAGGCATAAGCTATGGGTACCACCTCTGCCAACTTTTTAAAAAATTAGATGAACATTTTTTTTTAGCCATTGTAGGATTTTTTTTTTTTATTTCTTGCGTGTATTTATGTTTTTCTTACCAATGCAGTTGATATTCTGTCAAACCAGGTTGGTAGACACAAGCCAAGCAGTCTGACTTCCATGGTACATATATTTTTCAAAAAAGTCAACTTTTTCAAAAAATTAAGGTGCTTTCAAAAATTTTTAATATATGAACCTCTTCATTCCTCAGTGTAAAAATGTGCTGAATGGAAGGGATGCCTTGATACCCAGAATTGATGGGGCGTTCTGTGTAACTAGTGACCTCCATTTTAAAATAGAAGCTATGGAAGGGGGTCTGCCAAGATACCTTCATCTAACCTCATATTTGAGGTTTAAAGTTCCAGAGGAGAAACCCAAACAAAACCATCACACAAAAATATGTCTGTCATGTATGAATAAAGGTCACAAATTCCTCATACCATGCTCATTCTTGTTTTGTTTTTGTTTTTTTGTTGGTTATGGGGCTTGAACTCTAGGCCTGGGCGCTATCCCTCAGTTCTTCAGCTCAAGGCTAGCACTCTACCATTTGAGCCACAGCACCAGTTCCAGTTTTCTGAGTGGTTTATTGGATATAAGAGTCTCATAGCCTTTCCTACCCAGACTGGCTTTGAATTGTGATCCTCAGATCTCAGCCTCCTGAATAGCTAGGATTATATGTGTGAGCCACCTGTGCCTGGCTAGCATGCTCATTTTTTAACTTTATTTTACACAGAAAGTTAATTAAAAAACACTTGAACCTAAAAAAATGAAGGGATCATAGATAAAGACTACTGTATACCTGCTTCACATCTATCTCTGTTTGAGACTATGGGAGCAGAAGATTCATATTTGATGACTGAACTAATTTCTGTGGCAACACAACCAATTGTTCTCAAAGTAGGTCTTGAACTCTCTCAGTACTGAGTCTTGTATTTTGACTGTGATTTTATTACTTTTTTTCTACATTTTTCTTATATTTCCTTCCATATCTTAACTCACTGTCTTATTTTATATTTTAACCTTATAACTATACTAATTATGAGAGTGAAACTCTCTGAGAGCCATGGTAGAAATATCACCATATCATTTCATACCATTTAAATTCATTTATTATTATATCTTCAAGAGAGCAGAATTTAAATCCAAGCATTCTTGCTGTAGGATCTGTGCTGTTAAGCATACCACTGTATACTAAGGCCAGCTGTGATCACAAAATTAGGCAGAAACTGAGCAAAACTTGAACCCTGGTAGTATGACCTGAGTATGTGATTTTCATCATTATGCTCAAATACTTATCCATTTTACCCCCTCAGAATTCTTCAGATAAAAATGTACTTCTTATTCATGGTTGAAATCAGTGACTCAAACCTTGATGTGTTGTAGAATCAACTAAAGACTGGTTAAAACTCAGATCAGAGGCTGGGAAGGTAACTCAGTAGTAGAGTGCTTGTCTTGCATGCATGAGACCCTGGGTTCGATTCCTCAACACCACATAAGCAGAGAAGACTGGAAGTGGCGCTGTGGCTCAAGTCATAGAGCGCTAGCCTTGAGCTGAAGACTTGAGGGACAGTGCCCAGGCCCAGAGTTCAAGACCCGTGACTGGCAAAAAAAAAAAACCAAAACAACAACTCAGATCATTGGACCTACAAGTGTTTACTCTGGTTTAGAAGCTCTGGGTTAGGTCTACATTTCTTAGTTTTGTTTTTTGTTTTTGTGGTATTAGAGATCAAGCCCAGGGTCTTAGGAATGCTAAACAAGTATTCTACCACTGAGATACCTCCATAGTCTTAGGTCTTCATTCTTAGGTAATGCTGATAAAGCTAGTCCAGACACCACTCTTTGGAAACTGCCGTTTCATACCTAGTAATCAGAGAATAAGCTGAGGGCAATGGATGAGCCAGCAAGATGATTAGGCACCAAAACATGCAAAACTTGATCTAGAGTGGACTCTGCTTTGTTCATGGAACAAGTTTTAGTAAGAAAGTGGTGATAGGAACAAAAATGTGGTGTCCTGGGACCTTGTGGACTCTGGCTATGTTGTGGAGAGTAGACTGAAGAAGAATGAGGGTGAGATTGGAGACACGTTTACAGGTATTAAAGTAAGGGGTGCTGAGGATCATGTTAGCGGTGGGGGGGGGGGGGGATGACAGAGGGATTTGAAAGTGTGGCAGAAGCAAAGAACTGGCACCAAGCTTTACAGCCATCTTTGTTGATTTTCCCTCTGCCTGCCTGAAGATGGGTGCATCTCAAGGTACGTGGCTGGCTCCTTTTCTGTCTCATCCAGTCAGACCACCCTCTCCACTCACCATCCTGGTTTTCATCGGTAAATCGCCACCTTAGTATTACTCATTATTTCCTTTAAAAGGATTAGTTGCATTTTGCCATGTACAATGATTTGGATATCAAATCCCATAGGTTTTTAATATATTTTAATTGGTCTAAATTTGCTCTTTTTATTTGCCTTTAAATTCCTACTGTCTTGCTGAGTTGCTGTAGTATGTAAAAACTTAATTGAATAAACAGGTGGGCAGATGAATGGTTAAAAGGATAATCATCATTTTTAGAACATCAGAAATAAATCTTTCTTATTTTAAGACTTTGATTTTTTTCTTCTACGCCTTCTAAGCCGTGTTTCTAAAATAGCCTTCTTAGCTATTTTATCCATTCTCTTTAATTCCTGACTTCCCAACATTTGCAGAATCTATATTTTGTAGGGTGGCTGGTGAAAGTCTGCATATACAGAACTACCATAGTTCTTTGCTTATGAAGCAACTATGTGCTTCTGCTTCCCCTGGGTAGCACCTAAGCTGTTTCAGGCCAACAGTACCACCTACTGATAGGTATAGCTAGATATTAATATAGAAAAGAGTCTGTCTCTAGCTGTTCTATTTCCTCTTTCTCAGGGATTTGTGCATATCAGTACCCTCTCTCACCTGCTGTCAGTCATTATTTATTTTTCAGTTACATCTACCTTACACTATCTTTTCTCCACTCTATAACCTGCCCCACCCCCTTTTAATGCATTTTCTCTTCTGCTGCTTTTAGGAAAAAACATTAATCATTGTTGATAAACACTGGCATAGAGCCAGTGATGTTGCAGCTATCTGAAAGATGGAGGAGGTTCTGTATTTTGAAATGGAATAATTTATAATAGAGAGCCTAAACTTTGAAAACACTTGAAGAGAATAAAGAACTTCATGCATAATTTTTTCCTATTTCTTGATCTAATTATTAAACAAATTTTCACTCAAATACCATTATTCCCCCAAAAGAAAATGACAGTATTTGAATGCTATATATTTATCAGTGTTTTTTCTACTATTTTTATTGAAGATAGTGTGTGTCAGTAATGATGTTTATTAATAGGTCCTAATGGTGCAATATGAACTCTGGTAAACCTTTCTCCTATTTTGTTTGTGGGAAGATATTTAAAGACTTCTAAACTACCTACACTGTTGGCTTTTTCTAATACAGGTTAAATATAAGCCATATACAGAGTTGTCAGTTTGTTAGGAGCTATATTTCAAAAAGAAGAAACAGTGAAATTAATTTCATTAATGTGTTAATGTTCTATATAAATACATTCTAAAATATGTGCAAATGTTATTGCAACAGGATAAAATATAAAATATAAAAGTATAAAATATTAATATGATTGTAGAAAGAATATAGGTGACTAGCATATGTACAACATAGTAGCATTTTAAATAATAAAACATTTAAAGTGGAGTGGAGTTCTAACAAAACAAGAAAAATATTGTATTGCTTCTGTTTAAAATAAAATAAAGATGAAAATTTCATTCCTCAGTCACATTCAAGGTTTTAGAGGTCACGTGTATGATGTTACTTGTTTAGACAACTCATGTGACAAACCTTTTGTTTTTGGCAGTACTGAGATTTGAAGTTAAGGCCCTGAATTTGGTAGGCTGGTGTTCTACTCCTTGAGCCATTCTTTCAGCCCTGCTTTTTGCTGGTAATTTTGGTGGTAGAATCTAGAAAACTTTCCCAAGCCTGGAGTGGCTTTAAACCATGATGCTACAGATCACAGCTTCCTGAATAGCTAAGGTTATAGGTGTGAGCCATTAGCACCTGGCAATTCTAGATAAATCAGACAATGTTTTAGATAAAAGAGATATTTTTTCCGCTATTTTCTCTTATGTCACCCAAAGTTTTGAATTTTATCATTTATAAATTATTTGCATTAGTGGAATGAGCTAATTGAAGAATAAGTAGTAAACAAACTGAATTCAACTTTGAAACAGAAGATGAGTGTATCGTCTCAATGACAAACTTTTCTAACTTTAAGTTTTAAATAAAAAAAAAATTAGGGCCTTTTTATAGAGTGGACTGATTTCCTGCCTGTAACATCTAATTAAAGTGATAAAGAAAACGAAAGAATGCTAATAGGATGCTACATGCCTAGATCTGACACTCCAGGACCACCATAGATTCCAGGCCAGCCGAGATAGCCCACCGATACCCTGTCTCAGCAAAACAAAAATA